TTTTAATAAAAATAAATAAACTCACATAAGGTGAGTACAAGGTGAAAACTGACTGGATATGATCTAGCAACATGCATCAGTCATATACCTATCAACATACTATTCACTGGGACTTAAATTTACTATTTTTAGGTGCCTAGGTAGAGAAAATTCTCAAGTTTCTATATCACTATCTCTTCAACACCTGCTTGATGGCAGAGCTAGCTGAAATTATGGAGAAAGCCAATTTATAGTATTTAATATGAAATAGGAGTGGCTCAACAGCAAAGCTGGCATGGCTCTCAAGGGGCGTGGAAGGAAGTCCCTGGGTAATGCCCATGGCCTGTGCTTGCGTGCTAACCTGAAGGCTGGTGCTTTGAGCCCGCTCAGCAGCACTGTGGAAGGAAAGCCCTGGTTCTCTGCTTCCATTGAGGTCTCGGCCAAGAACACCCACGGAGCAGTTCTCCTGTCACGTGTGGGCTCACCATCAGTTGGAATCAATAGAAAGAAGTTAGCAGCAGAAAAGAATGAGAGAATAAAAAGTGACTTTGTTGACATGTAAGAAATCCTTTTTCTGTTGATTTTTAAACCAGACCCACTGCATGGAGACCATTCCGACTCAGTGCAGCCGCGTGGGGTGCAGTGGGCATGCCCGGGTGCTTTCACAGGCTGTCACTCTTTGTAGTGCAGGAAGCCTCACGTTTCTCCCTTAGAACAGCTGGTGAGTTTGCACTGCTAATCTTTCCGCTAGCAGCTCAATACGTAAACCCACTACACCACCCAGGACTCCTCAAGAAATAGTTACCCTCACGAGGGTAGGAGAGGGCAGGAGAGGGGAAAAAGAGGCGCTGATATCAAGAACTCAAATAGAAAGTAAATGTTTAGAAAATGATGACGACAACATGTGTATAAATATGCTTGATACAATTGGTGTATGAGATGTTATAAGATCTGTAAGAGCCCCCAATAAAATGATTTATAAAATAAAAGTTACCATTCCAGAAATATGCTGATTTAATCTATACCATTTTACATTATCTCTCAATAATTTAAAGTACAGTATTTGCAGTCCTTTCCTAAAAGTTGACCTATTAAGAGGTTGAATTATCATTTAAAGTATAACAATATATTTTACATTTTGTGACTAGGTGCTGCATATTGCATTAAAAAACTTCCACGTAATCCACCCAAAGAAGAAATCATAGGAGATGGCGAGCAACAGTATGTTTATCTGAAAGATGGAGATTTGATTAAGACTGAGGGAGCCACTCTAAGGTAAATAAATG